GCCAAGTAGAGTGGAGCTTGGGGAGGGGTATCGTGGGCGGAGCGATGTCCGTCATCTTTCTGCTTTGATCGTATGGTTTGCCAAACCCCACATGAGTAAGTTGTGAGTAATGCGGAGAGATGATCCTTTCGTGAACTACAGTTGTTCATGGTCGGGATTGAGTCTGTATGGGAATTGCCGAGGAAGGAGGATTTCCGGGGGGGAAAGAAGGTCAGCCGACAACGCTTGGTCTCTAACGGCGTAGGGCTGTGCTCAGTTTGATTTACCCCAACTTTAGTCTCTACTTCGTCTATCTACTTTCCGACCTTCTTACGGAGCATGATCCTTGCAGATGGAACTTTCATTAATTTAGGCTGTGTGCCTTGCCTCGAGGACCCGTATCAATTCAGCAGGCTGATTCTGCCTGCTGTCAACGCAAAAACTATTGGGAGGTAAGCTTCGATGCCAGCCTCTCGCAGAACCTTGAGGTGTTCTACTCGTCGCCGAGACGCAAATTGCGCCTCGGTAATCTCCCTACACTCTCCCATGGGCCCATAGGCGAATCGTCGGTCTTCAGACCACGGAGATATGCCGTTGACGAACCGTATCCAACGCTTCCGCATCTCCTGGCCTACTTCATTTGCCGCGGGATTGAAGGAGAGATCGAGTCCTCCAAAAAGAAACAGGAGGTCGACTGCGTGGTGAGACCGACTGGAGGACTGCCATGGATTTGGTTGGTCAACCACGTATCTGAAAACGTGTTTGTTCGCAGCCTTGAGCTTTTCCGCGACGAGCTCAACAGGGAGGGTGTATCGGGTGTCATTGACGAAATCTAGCGCGCCCAGTTTGCTGGCAGTAGGACGATCATGGACGACCTGGTACATCTTGCGCAGTTTTGTGCCATAGTTTTTGTCGGTCTCGAAAGCCGCAGCAATCGATGCGCCGTCGAAAGTCTCGATTCCGTTTCTCCAAATGACAGACTATAGAAGTCAGACTAGGCGAGAGGCAGTGTTAATGGGAGAAGGATGGAGAACATACCTCATATTCAGTATCACCAATCATGAGTTCCTCGACTTGTTCTGGCTTGTTCTCCCAATCCTGGAATTCGGAATCCTCCTGTATCCACATTGTATTCACATTGAACTCCTTCAACGCGCGAATTAGACAGTCAACAGATGAGCGACGCAGCGATTCCTGTCCAAACTCCTGCACCTTGCTTTCGAGTGTGTTGATGAGCGCATTGCCTCTTTCGACCGGCAACGGCGAAGAGAGGTATAGCGACCCGGATGCTAGGACAGCCCTTTGGACAGGAGGGCCGGTAATGAGATGCGCATGAACATAGACCGCTCCTGCGCTCTCTCCAGCAAGTGTGATATTATTCTGGAGTGAGAAAAGACGTTAGCATCAGGCGTCCTCAATCAGCGTTGGATCACCTACCGGATCACCCCCAAATTCTGCGATGTTCTTCAGAACCCAGTCAATGGCCAACCTTTGGTCCTTTATCGCGAGGTTCTTCTCCTTCCCATCCCCAAAACTAAAGATATTGAGACGATAGTTGAAAGAGACGAAAACAAATGGCTGGCCCTCCTTGACAGACTCAGCAACGATCCGAGTCGGGTCTATGCGTCTTTAGGCATCAGCCGTTGAAGAAATAAGTAGCAATTCAGACATCTTACCGCAGATTTTCGATTGAGCAGAACAAAATGTAACAATTTGAGAACCACCTAAGGCACTGCCGTTAGCACAATCAATGCCTTAGCTTGGTATCCTTGCAAATCTGCCATCGTACCATATATCCAGACGAGAACAGGAAGAGGGCCGTTAATGCTAGACAGAGGAGGACTGGTAATGTCCAGATTTAGACATTCAAACTCATCCTCAGCTTCGGGCTCGATCTCGAAATCCTCCGGGATGCGCAACAAATGACGCACGTCCACATGAACCTGCGGACATTTCGGTCTTTCAACGTCAGGTTCAGTATACGGAATTGTATGTCCATAGATAACGGAAATGGCTTCCTGAGCTTAGGGACAAGACATACCCGTAATTCGTAGCATCAACAACGCCCCCGTTGAAGTTTTCCACAGGCTCAGCACGCTCGAACCGCGCCGGTATTTTGGCATACTTGATTCCGCGGAATTGGTCTACTATGACACCGTTGAAATCCCTCCTAACACCTGTAAAGAGTGCCTGAAGCCCTTCATGTTGTACTTGTGGAGCTGCCATATTCACAATGACAGAGTCAATCTGGGAGTCAGGGAGGAAGAGGAAACGTGTAAGCAGAATATGGAGCAGATAAGGTTATCGAGGTGTCTGCACTACCCATGGCCCAATTTCTTCTTTGATTTCCCTCCAGCAGCCGGTTGTTATGCTTCCCGAAGCTTGTACCTCCCATGCTGCCGAGCATGCTTGCTGTGGGGCTGCTGCGGGGATATCCACATGGGTGCTGAAATGTCGTAGCTCGGATGATGAGGACGGAATATCGGCAAGTTGGAAATTAAGACATTTGGTTCTCAGGATATGGTAGAAAAACAAATTCGTCTTGAAGTCCGAAGCGCATGTAGAAGCTGTTGGTAGCTGTTGGTAAATATTGGTTGCTGGGGTGTATTGGTGAAAGGATCTTAGTTCCCAATGGCTGCATACTACTGATCTTCTGATACTGAATCACCAACGAATTGTTTCTTCCTTTATGATGTGAGATTTTCCTAATTAGGATATTATATTATATATACAGTTTTGAGGTTGCTCGAGAATATGTCCGCGTTCTGCACAGCCTATCCAGCTGCTTCGGCAACCTGACTCTCAGCATGCCGCTCTGTAGGTTTCCATATACGGCCACCCAGAAAAAGCAAGATAGGAATAGCAGACACGCCCATCAGCAGACCTATGACCCAGGACATCGTGCCCCAGCCAGCGCTTTGTCGGATAAACCCAGCCAGGAATGGACCGACCATCGACCCAGCAGCAAAAGCAGAATTGAGGATACCGTACGCAAGTGCCATTGCGCCTCCTTTGCCGAAGACGCCTGGTGACTCTGCTTCTTTCTCCTGGACAACGTATGAGGCCTCCACAAAGAGCGGGGGGAGCACGAAGGCCAGGCAGAGCCCGATCAGAGCCAACAGCACACAGAGCACCACTTTTTGACTCATAGAATTTGTTGTGACGAGTCGGAGAAGAACGAACAATGGGACTGTAGTGAGCAATGCTCCACTAACCACAAAGCGCCGAGCTTGGGGGAACTTGTCGTTGATGTACCCGAAGAACGGATCCAGAAGATGAGGCACCGACACTGGAATGAAGATCAGTCCTTGAGCTGTCTGTTTCCACCCGAATGTATCCTGAACGAAAAGAGGAAGGACGCTATCGAGAGATGTCAACGCAACCGACACAATAAAATAAGCCCATAGCGCGACAAGCATTCGGTCTGAGGACAACAGGGTGGCAACAGCGCCGAAACGTCTCTTGCGAGGCATTTGTTGGTTTGGATCCCCAATTGCACCGCTTCGCGGTGTCGAGTTCGATGCTGTGTCATGCTCGCTGCCGCACTCATCAGTCGGGTAAGGAAGAGACGCACGTCCATCCGTAGGTTGCTTCTCCATTGGATTGTCCACCGGTTCTGTGGAAATCCTTTCAGTGTGAAGCCACTTCAGGGCATCTTTCTTCTCGATCAAGACAATTCGCAGGAATATGTCTAAGCCAATTATACCGAATGCGAGACCGAAAACAGCATAGTAGCCTCCGTTCTCATATAAAACACCCCCAAGGAGGGGCCCTGTCATTGTACCGAGTGTGATGCCCATTGCCGCATATCCCATTGCCTCGCCCAGAGCCTCCTTTTCTATCGTGTCGACTAGCAGGGCTAGTCCGACTGTCCAAACAATAGCCGCAGACATCCCTTGAAATAAACGGCCAGCAATCCAGAGGCCGAGGGTAGTGCCTACACAGAGCAATGCCGTAGAAGCACCCAAGGCGACCAGCCCTATCAGAAGAGGCCATCGCCTAGACTCTATTCGATCTGCCAAGTAGCCGGAAATAGCTGTATTGAACGAGGACGGTGAGTAAGGTTGTTCGGTATAGCCGGTGGCGGAGGATGGTCAAACTCACGGGAAGCTGCCAACAGTGCGGCGCCGTACAGGGCTAATAAGATCGATGTCCATGATTGTTCTGATAGCGAAAGGTTAAGAACAGAATCACAGGAAGCAAATATCAACACATCTCAAGAGGGCGCGTACCATCATCCTCAGATAAGCCAACTCTCTCATGCAATGCAGTAGGGGTCACAGGGACGATCTATATCACGTTAAACTCTTGAACATAATGCATTAGACGATAGCAAACGATAGCTTAAGGCAGGGGGTCAACTTACAAGCCCATATAGCAGGATATCCTGACATAACTGGTTTTAGCATGTTTTCTTCCGAGGACACCATCCCTTGTTGCCAACTTACAGTGAATGTTGCGAAAGAGACCACAAATATGACGAAGGCTTTGGACGACCTTAGCTCGAGGAGAATCGGTCTTTTAGGTTCCTCCTGATTTTTTAACTGCAGGCCGCCTAGGACCATAGCGAAGATGGGTATCAATCTAAGCTAAACCGCTGAGATGTCATGCGGGCACTCGAGCAACAGGGGTCACGAAATGAAATTGATGGGCACAGAATCCTAGAGCAACCGAACTATCCATGGAGACATACGTCAGAGGCACATAACGAAGAATTCGGAAGTGATAAATATTTTGTGAGAGGATTTGAGCATCAAAAATCTAGGCGATGATTCAATAGCCGCTGGCTCGGGCTCCTCGGGCCCCGAGAAGGGATGGATCCTGCCGCATTAAGGAATTCAGGTTGGCGGATCGTCAACCACGAAACATAATATTGGGCTATCTGCCAGTATCTACATACGGATTGACTCGAAATACACGCAAACGTGCCTAAGTTAAAAACCAAATAAAAACCAGCGGTGGAATAATACTTGTCCCTTGACGACTATATACATCACACTGTACTGTGTCATGACCTCGGGCTACAGTGTTCTGAACAAAGCAAGTACCTTTGCCAACTCGTCCAGCGACACTTGGTCATCGTGGTCGAAGAGAACACTTCTTCGCAAACTTCCCTCATTGTGCGGCCCATTCACTTGCCCAACGTTGGGTGCAGGACCGTAGACTCGGGCTGTGAAGCTAGCTTCTACATCATTTTGGGCAACAGCAGGCCATGGCTTCACGCCATGGCAGAATTTGAAGAAGTCCTCGGCGAAGGTGATTGCAATTTGCTCCTGGTCTGGCCCCATAAACTCTCGAAAATTCTGGAACAGGTAGGCTAAGTCAAGGATATGACTCGCTCGATCTTTCCAAGGTCCGTCCCATGGGTTCCCTTCGTTGAAGTGATAGACGTATACATTGTTTTTCCAGCCCTTTGCAAACGTCAGAACCGGAGCAAAGAAAGCAATGTCGTTTATGTAGTTGAGAACAGCCGGGAAGGCCTCGTCGTCTGTCATGTCCTTTGTGATGTTGTACTTGTCCAGGATTTGTTGCGCAACATCCGATTTTGACGGAAGTATGGTGTTCAGTGCGGTAACAAACTTGCTTGCACAGTCTTTCTTCGTATGCGACATCAAAAACGCCATGATGCTAGCCTGGAAGGAGGGAGAGTCGCGGTCAGTAGACTATTTGAAAGCCGTTAATGGCGACTTACATCCATCTGGGCGTCGCCAATCATTAGATCTTCGCACCACTGCTTTCCGCGGGGAAAGTTTGAGCCTTTATCAGCTACCTTCGCATAGGTAACCGCCGAGGACACAATGTCCCCATCAATGGCAGGAACTGCTAGAACGGCTGGAGGGATTTTGGCAACCAAGTCCTCACCCGGTGTTTCCAAAAGAGTCTTGATTCGTTCTCCTGAACTAGCATCGGCCAGTCCTAATGTCGCAATGGCTTGCTGGTAGTTCTGCTCGTGTAAATCATAAGGCAAGGGCTGGATGAGTAGACAGGTACCACTCATCACAATAGCCCTCTTAAAGAGTTGCTCGTCAGAGTCGAGGTGATACGTTACACACGCTAGCAAAAGTTCAGTATGCCTGTAAAGTGACGGCAAACAATGATGAGCCAGACATACCTCCTCCAGCGCTCATCCCGGCGAGTGTCACATTACCAGGATCTCCACCGAAATCGGCAATGTGTTTTTGCACCCATCTCATAGCCACTTTCTGATCCCTGAGCCCGTTGTTGGCGTTGTACCCAGCCCGTCGAAGTTCATCAGAAGTAAGAAAGCCCAATGCGCCGAGACGATAACTGTTTAGAGTGAGTTCTTGCCCATGTCGCGTCAGGGTAGTGACCTTACTTCATAGAAACCGCCACTATGGGTAATTTTTTTTCAACGGATAACTTGACGAACCGTGCGCCATCGAATTGTGGCCAGGAGTTAGCTCCAAGCACCAGCCCTCCGCCGTGAATGAAGAGAAAGACTGGATGATTGGAGGTCCCTGTTGTGCCCGCCGGGACGGTGATATTCAGGTTGAGACAGTTCAAGTCCGATTGAGGAAGCTCTTTCTTTGGAAGGGTATGTTGAATGTGGCCAAGCTCAAAGTCACACCCGAACAAAGGAGACAAAGCAGTTGGACTAGGATTCCTTGCATTAGTTCACTGGCATGTGGCATATTTCCTGACCACCCTTACCCATCCTTGCTCGCGTCCAGGATACTACCTTCACGCTGCTCTATGAGTTCCGCGTCTCCGAGTCTGTCTTTGAGAGTAGCGTATTGAATGCCCAGAAACTGACTCACACCGTCATGACTCTTGCCTCGAACTTCACCCAGAAATCTTGTCTGAAGAATAGTGTCCATTGTAGTGGATCCTTCCCCCTCAGTGCAAGTCGCGAAGACAGCAGATGGATGCGGGGAATTGCAGAAGAGAGGTCAACATCCAGGGCACTTGTCCATGGCTTTTGAACAGCCTCTCTGTACGGCTCCCGATTGCTAGTTCTCCATACTTCGGTAATAAACTCACCCAGTAATATGCCGGATTTAACTCTATGAGCTTGACTGTCAAGTTGTCAACAAGGCCGAGGGGTAATTCCGAATTATACGGTTTCTTCCACGACTCCGTTCCCCATTTCGTGGGTGGGTCGTTTTGGCTCCATGCGCGGTAGAGATGAGAATGGGCTCACTAAATGGCTCCGCTGAAGCGAAGAGTTGTGTGAGACATCCTCCAAAGGCATCCTTCAAGCCGAGCCGAAATCCAGTTGTTGACGCTGTGAAATTGAGGACCCAGCGGCCAGAACTTTCATCGGATATCCTCCATCATCAGGGCCATTGCCCCGCAATTCCCCCACATGAAAATGCCGAGGACGCCATAGAACGAAGAGATAAAGTTTTTGTATCGCTGAGGGTTTTGATTGGAAGATGTGCAAGTATTGAGCCAATTCCATTCAATACTAGGTGTACAGACAGAAAACTAAAATTGTTGTAGTGCAGAGGATGTGTTGACGTCTATTACTCCAGTAACCAGCTGAGGTAATGATGCCTTATCCTACGAAGACAGTGAATATACGAGGAGAAAGGGAATATAGGCTCTTCCCAGTCGCGCCTCCACACTACATAGCGATTCTACATCCGCAAGAAGGTAATAGGAAACGCGATTTCAAGAATTGGGAAGCTTAGCCTCTTCATTATGATCATGATTGAAAATTCATGCTGTAGCCACCAGTCTTAGGATCTTGGACGAATTTAAAATTATCCGTTGACAATCCAAATGGCTTGAGGATGCCGTTTCCCAGCTGCGTGGAGAGTTAGCCGTGCTTCAACAGCGTCAGCATGGAAGAGTTGTCGACTCACATCCTTCAGTTTACTCATCATCTCTGCCGTCTCCTTCTCCCGTGCCTGATTTATCCTCCCGGGCAACTCGCGAAGAGCCTTCTGCACAACCCGCCTATCGTCTGCAGGTAGGTTATCCATCCCGGCAAGCACTTTGTAGTCCTCTTCGGCGCCTTGTAAATTTCCCCAGCCGCCGAGCTGGCTCTTCGCTCGCGCACGCCTCATAAGCGCCTTTGCCCGAATCCGCATCACGTCGTTCTTTTTCTCGTCCATTCTCTGTAACCGTTTGAGCTCCTCCTCCTCTGCCTCTTCGTTTTCACCTGAAATCTCAACCACGGCGTCTGTCTGTTCTGACGGTTGAGGGTTTCGTTTCTCTTGGTCTTCGCCCAGGTTCTGTTGTGGAGACAGCGGGATAATGTTTTCCAGACGATCAAGACAGACAGTTGCGGATTCGACGGATGCCTTCCAGTCTTCCAGCTTCAGGTAGCATGCGGCCATGTTGCTTCGAAGAACGGCAACTTCATAGTCAAGGTAATTGGGACACGAGGCAAGGGCACGGTCATAGCAGGAAATAGCCTGATCATAGCAGGCAGCAGTAAACAGTTTGTTGGCTTCTGACTTGATCTCGTGAGATTCTTTCAAGAGGCGCTGTTAGGATGGTCGATATGAGCATCAGCAACTGTTTCTGAGGACGACAATCAAAAACTCACAGCTTCTTCCTCTACGGGGAACCGTGCATCATGGAAGACATCTTCGCTCTCGCTATCAGACCCAGGGTCGGGTTTTTGTGGATTCTTGTTTAACTTTTCTGTAGTCATGCTGCCTCAAGAGCATTAAAGCGAATGGAAGCTCCTGAGATCGCCGCTTCGAAGCTTGAGTGGGTAGGTACGGAGTAGTTATCGATAATCGGGAGGCCCGTCGGACAACCGGACTCGATCCCGACCGTACCCCTCGATGGTAAAGCGGCATGAAAGAAATTCCTGATTGGGTTACATTCAAGCCGATTGACATGAGAGTGTGGAGTAGCCTTATCTGAGCGTCTTTAAACAACAATTGAAGATCTGATCCTCCTGTCACTCTGCATTATCCCTTTCGTCTGTGAAACGATTACTTCACCATGACCAAAAGCGCATCCGAGTAAGTTCTCAGGTCCAGATTCATTCAATCTATGCCCATGGAAGTTCCACCCTGCTGACTGCCCCTCTCTAACAGATTTCCCCGCGTGCGGGCATGTCTCTTTGATATGGATGGATTGCTCATTGACTCAGAGGACAAATACACGGAGATCACGAATGCAATCCTCCAGGAGTTCGGAAAGCCAATACTCCCTTGGGAAATCAAGGCTCAATTGCAGGGTCGACCACAGCCTGAGGTGAGTACTTCCCGGCATCTTCACTCCACTCAGTCATTGAGACTTGAAGGGTTCGTCTCAACGCTGTTATGTGCTGTCCTAACCCTCTATCGTATAGGCAAGCAAGATTTTCCACCATTGGGCTCAACTCCCTATCAGCCATGAGGAATACGCCGCGAAGCAGGCCGCCCTGCAAGCCAAGTACTTCCCCCAGTCACAGCCACTGCCGGGCGTCAGAACTCTCCTGTCCAAGCTTCTCTCCACCCAGAAAACCGACCAGCCAGTCTACATCGCCCTGGCAACATCATCGCATAGCAAGAATTTCAAACTGAAGACCGACCATCTGCAGGATCTGTTCTCCGCTTTCCCCGAGTCTCAGCGCGTCCTAGGTGACGATCCTCGAATTGGTAAGGGAAGAGGAAAGCCGCTACCGGATATCTACCTGCTCGCTCTTGAGACGATCAACGAGGGCTTGCGGCAGCGAGGAGAATCCGAGATCAGGCCCGAAGAGTGTCTTGTGTTTGAGGATGCGGTTCCTGGTGTCGAGGCGGGACGCCGAGCTGGGATGCGGGTAATCTGGTGTCCTCACCCGGGCCTACTAGGGGCTTACAAGGGCAGAGAAGCGGAGGTACTGGCTGGGCTGACGGGTGAACATAAAGAAGAGGAGAAGTCCGCCCCGGAGAAGGAGGCGGAGGAGTTGGTGGCGTGGAGAACTCAAGGCGCCGGTAGACCTGGCGAAATTGACGATGGATGGGGAGAGTTGGTGTCGACTTTGGAAGACTTTCCTTACGACAAGTACGGTATTCGTCCTGCGTAGCCTTGTGTATTCTCTCTAGTTACAGTTCCATTCTCATATTGTACATGAAGCGATGAATATGTCAATAGCAAACCAGCATATCAGCAACGATTGATCAATCAAAGGATTAGTGCATTGATGAGCATAACTCTCCGTTCAGAGCCGTGCGTAGCAAAGCCTGCGCATCAAGCCGGAATAGAACTTTTGTACCACAGGTAACAAGAAAAGGCCAGCCAACGAACAGGTCATCTATTGGATGCACAAAGTGGTTGATGGCTGCGTTTCGAAACAAGCAGCTAGAATCCATAGCGTACTAAGTACGTGGTGCAAAAACAAGAGGGATTCGAACGATCAGACGCACGTGGAAATGGATGGATATCTTCGTCAACGCCAGGGAGGATATCAAAATGCGGTCTTGACAGTGCAGTAACAGTAGGCAACGAGCAAACAGAGATAACCCCAAACTCCAAATGCCAAAAATGACTTAATGTCATCACGTTCATTTTCCGGGGGGATCAAATTCAGCGGACTGAGATTCTGATGTAGTGCACAAGAGCACAACCAAGGAAACTAGATTGCGTTCGCTTTCAAACAAGGGTATCACATCCTAAGCTGCGAATAGAATGCCGACGATAAACACTGAGCCAGACACCAGTAAGAGATGAATTGCACCGAAGCAGCCAGTAGATGAAAGAAACAAGGTTCATGAAAGATGATAAAGTGATACTAAAGTGATCGCAAGCCCCAGGCGCCTCGCCAGTTCGATGAAAAGCATTGTGATGCAAATGTAATAGACGATGTACGTGGTTTTAGTAAAGTCGAATGCATTGAAAAAGCAAGAATGACTGGAAGCTGAATCATTCTTTGATCTAACGACGTCTCTTGGTAGGAGGGCAGTCTTCATCAGCGCCAGTTTCGGTTGATCCTCGCTTGCGGCCGCGCGTTTGGTTGTTTGGCGGCAGATGGTTCGATCCCATAGTTCTCGAAACGACAGGATTCAGGCCGGCCATTGAACTGGAAGTCGAAGTCGGCTGACGATAAGTTGGCAGTTGAAGGGGGTGTTGAGGCGGTGGCGGCATCTCCATACCCGTACCCATGCTTGCTGCCCACAGATAAGGATCCATCGATGACGTGTGAGAATTCTGAGTGCGAGAATTCGGAGCAGCGGTTGCATTGAATTCAGGAGATATGGTGAGCTGGTCATATCCGGAGTGTGATCCATAGGGATGACAAGGGGCGGTCAGCGCCTGATCCACGGGGAACATGTTCACTATGTTGCTCATGCTTGGATGAAGTCCACTGGTGTTTGTAGGATGGAATTGTCCGGTATTGATTGTGCGTTGGATTTGGCCGGTATTGGACACGCCGGAAATAATGTTGTTGTATCCGGTATGGGACACGCCATGGCGCTGTCCTGGATAGGTCATGCCTTGGTTGTGTCCGGTACTGTTCTGGCCTTGCATGGAATAACCCTGCGAGTAGCTTGACTGTCCGCGTGCCGACGAGGCATACGATGGACCACGCTGGCCTGAAGTGTCTTGATGCTGGACAGTGGCAGTTTTCTGAAAGCCAAATCCGGCCTTCTCGGCGTCCTCGACTTCATGGGCTTCATCAGCAGAATCTCCGCCGACTGGCGGTTCTGCCTCAGCCTCCGCCTCAGCCTTTCCCTTCGCCTTTCCTTTCGCCTTTCCTTTTGCCTTTCCCTTCGCCTTTCCCTTCCCCTCCGCCTTTGCCTTCGCCGCCTCTTTCTCCGCCGTGACGGCCCTTCCGGTCTTGATATGCCCTCCTTTGGTTTCGTTGACAATAACGTTTGCGCGGCAGCGGACCAGACACTCCAGCGGGGTGTCCACAAATTCGCGGATGTATTTGGCACCGTAGTCTAACATCCGCTTGCAGGTGGACTTGTTGACATGAAAGATCCGGACAATGGCCGCAGCCCTGTCCGGGAAGGAAAGTAACGCCCCGGTTCTGGCGGGATCTTTCGTCCTCTTTTTTTCCTCTTCGTCCTCCTCGTCCTCCTCATTCTCCTTGGGTCCTTTATTTTCCCCCTTCTTCTCTTTTGGAGGGGGTAGCGGCATTGTGCGATGATATTCAATCATCGTCTCCTATTCAAGTATCAGTAAAGTGTTGAAAGGCATACTGCCACAGAGACTTACGAGAATGTTCCAACAAGCGACCTCGATTTCCACAGGTTTTCTTCGTATAATGTTCTTCCACACAAGTATGGTTTTTTCCTTGTCATCGACGTCCTTGAGGTTCATCATTGCCCGCAGAAAAGAGTTCACAATCGCGACCTTTTGGGCCTGCGAGACAACCAAATCCGGGTCGCGGCCAGGTCCTTTGGGAGAGGGGATCGCAGTCATCGCCTCTTCCAAGGACGCGAATCTGGTTTGTATTTCGGTGGTCTGTAGTTCTGGGCTGCTCCACTCGGGGTTCATGAGAGCATGAGAGGTTGGTAATCCGGGTATTGTAGCGATTTGCGGAAATAGTTTGTCGACGACTGTCGGTTTCTTACGTCTGTCAGCAGCTGAATCAGACGAGGCTTGCTCCGATAAGGCCTGGTGTGCCTCGCTGCTATGATGACCATTGGAAGGGGCCGCGGAGACCATGGATGCATGTGGGCTTTGAGGTGCCTGGCCCTGGGCAGGTCTCGCAGAATTAACTGGTTGGGGTTGAATTTGCTGCTGCTCGTTTGCAATATCCCGCGCAGGAGGTTCCTGGCCTTGGTCAACCTGATTGCGAGCCGCAGCGGAGCTCAAAGATCGATGTTGCGAATGTTGCACGGTTGGGGGCCGGTGTGCCTGGTTCTTCGTAGGATGATCGAGAACAGCCAAACCATTTGATCGTTGTTGGGACTCATCTTGCATGGATGAATTAGTAACACCTTGGCTGCCGGAGGGATACGCCAGCTGTGTCTCCTGGCTGTCAGCAGGGGTTCCGTATGCCTCTTCGGCATTGTGAGCCGGATGAGTGGTCATGTTGGCAAAATCCGAATTGGGAACAATGTTCTGAATCGATGCGGTGAGAGCAGGGTCAATAAGTTCCTCAAGATTTGCCTCGGGAGGAGTGCTGTCACCCGAATTCTTTTGGGACGAGGACTGTGCTTCGGACGTTTCGTCTTTCTCTGCGGATAAGTCCGAATGAATTGGCTCGCTCCTAGCACTGTCGATAAAGGTCATTAGAAGTCCACTGTGATAGGAAGGATTGACGAGAACGAAAACATACCAGTTTTGGCCTTGATTGCCATTTCTTCTTCTGCCACCATCCGATTGTTTGGCAAGGGGAGGAGTGGTTTTCTTTGCAGGTTCTTCGACAGCTTGAACGTAGGCTTGAGCGACGGGAGTGCCAGCATCGAGGCCTTCGGATGTGTGTCTCTCCATCATCTCCACGTCGTGATGAGCATCAGATGTGCCACCAGTGCAAGCATAGTCTGTATCCTTGTGGGTTTCGACCTTGGAACTGCCAACACCGATGGACTCGACTAAGACATCGTGGTGCTGAGCAGAGGGATTGCCATAACTGGAAATGTCGTCCGTCTGTTCGTGGTCTTGAGCATTGGAGCTGCCAACGTCATGATGCGCAGTTCCTCGTCCAATGTGATGGGCTCTGGGTATGTTGTTGTGATGCTTGATAGGGGATTCCTCAAGAACAGAATTGATACTAGGAGGAATGGGAGACTGGATGATATTTCCCCAGATATCAGCATCGAGTTGACCCTTGCTGCGAGTCTCAACTGCCCTTTCGAAGATTCCAGCGTACTGGCTCTCGTCGCCATGGTCATCAGCTAGACGTTGGATGTTTCCATAGCCACGGGCATTGTGAGTAGGGATGAGGTTGTGGCGTTCGAACAAGACATTTGCTCCGTGCTCACGCAAATCTCTGTATGTTTTATCGAATGTCTCCCAGTCAAAGTCTTCAGGAACATGAGTGGGCAGCTTGTCAAATGATGTGTCATCTGGATCGAAGAAAGCATTGTCAAAGTGGGATCCTTGCTCCTGCTCACCCTGCAGGGCAGTTTCGGCGTGCTGATGAGAAACCGGCCTAGTGTGACCGGCGTTAGAGGATATTAAGCATAGACGACTTGCCAAAGACTTACGCAAGTCCTTCCATAGACGTAGGAGAGACTGACAGAGAGAGCATAGTGCTCTGCATCTCGGTATGATGAGCCATAGCCTCAACAGGAGCACCAGGAAACTGAGGCGACATCCTCGCGACGATTTACTTGACAGTCAAAACAACACTCCGAAACTCGCTTGAAATTGCAAGATAGACAGTTTTTGAAGCTGTATGAGTGAAAGATAATGATTGGAAGAGACTGGGTAAGGATAAAAGGATGCGATTGGCAGATTTGAGGAAGTATGAGAGAAGAGAAATGGTTGGTAGAGTGGAAGAGAGACATGTAGAAGTGAAAGTTGGATTTGACAAGATGAGACTCGAAGGTAGAGGGAGGGAGGTTGGGTCCAGCAAGCATGAGGTGAATAACAGAGCATCAAAAACCTGAAAGTAGACGGGAGATACCGTTAACAAAGCGGAATATGCCATGTGCTTGGGGCCTGCAAACATAGTAGGGTGGGCCATGTTCCAAAAGTGGAAATAATGAGGGCAAGTTTGCAAGATTGCTACTCGAACATGCCCCAGTTCAGTGGGACACAATAGGTCTTCGAGGCATCTCGAAGCAAAACCATGCACATCACCAAGCGAGACAATTAATTCCATGGTGGTATTGGCAATGAAGTGTTGATGGCGGTCTAATTGTGCGTCTGACTGAGGCTCTGAAGACAATAGGTCATTGAGGTGCTGCGTTGCGCAACAACGCTATTGTTGAGACGCTCATGCACTGAGCAGAGGATTTCGCTCATTGAAGACTCGACCAGAAGCAGTGTACAATAGCTGGTGAGACCCTATCAAAATCAGGCGCAAAGTCAGCCTCTCAACCGGGCTATTGAGCTGTTTAGCAATCTTGAGTTCCTCTACCATTTTGCAAGCAGATCCACGTACCAATAGCATATTACTACGCACTCTTACTCGGCTGACGAACACAGCCAGGCTCAAAGCTTGACCTTGAACTCTCATTCCTTGGAACACCACTAAGGCCAATCATTCAAGTGACAGTGGTATCTAGGAATGGCATCGACCAGACTTTCAGGCTATTATCGACCTTCTTCGCTGAATGAACCGTCTCGTCCACAGCCCTTATATCACGTGAGAAGCGCCTCTGACCAGAAGTCGTTGCTGCTATGGTTCCCATGGGATGCAAAACAGTACTGCTCACCGCGTCTGTATGCCTTATCGTAAGCTCCTTGCACTCTCAATCAACTCGTGATCATTGCTTACCATCATGAACCTTCCATTCCCAGTCACACTTTTGCGGCCCGGCAGTGTGTGTAGGATTTCGCCATACCCTCATATATCCATCAGTTCCTCCAGCCCAGATCTCATGGGACTCGCCCTGTGCAACAGGTACAACATCGATCTTCATGCGTTGATTTGTGACAGCCCTTCGACCTTCTAGCCAGCCAAGAAGCTGTCCGGTGACTCTGATGTCGAATATTAAGACTCCGTCGCTTTTCCGTTCGGCAATATACAAATATCTTCCGCAGGGACTCCAAAGCAGTTGCGTGACCCCCGCGCCGCCAATGTGGCGATGAGCGTCCGTCTTCGAAATGCTAAAGGTCCCGAGAGACTCTCCAGTCCCATTCGCCCCATAAAGGCCTATCTGCCTCGAAAATGTACCCGCAGCCAAGATACCATCTCCCACAGGATTGATGGCCATGGCCGAGATGATCCCCTTCATCCCGACTCCTCCACCTACCATTTGCTTACGCTTACTGGGTATTGTAGGCATCCATGCGACGGGGCCCTCGCTCCCAGGACGAGATACGTCGAAAAGACATATCAGGCTGTCGGATCCAGTGAGAAAGTGCGTACCGCCCAGCGCATGCGGATACACCATCGAGTGAGGCGTAATGAATGCCTCTGTCGTCGGATGTATGAGCGAGTAAGTTGCCACAGTGGTGGGCACAAGCGCAGACGCGAGTCTAATTGGGTGATCACGGACTGATGAGAGGAACAGAGTGGTAGATGGATCCCGCAGATTGAAGAACGGATAGATGGCAGTGGCGTACGTTGGCTCTGCTGAAGGCAGAACAGAGTAAGGGTCCAGCCGATGCGGTGATGATGTTCCTTTCAGCAAATCCGGAGGCCTATTTCTACTCGTTAGTCCAGAAACGTCTCAACCCTTTCAGCAAGACCTACAGAATATAGGTTCTGATATGATGATCCGCAGAATCAGTCAAAAGTGTGGTACCATCCGGAGACCTATGCAAGCAATTGTTAGCCAAGGTTTGATTAGTCGTTCATTCAGTTAGGTCAGTTCCAGAAACCTACCATTCCGCGCCTTTCACGTAATTTAGAGGTGGATTTATTCTACTGCTCTCTTCTGCTGACATAAAGGAGAGATCCTGACTTTGTTTGAGAGATGGTTGGATATTGACTCCGATATCCTGTGCATCKTCCACTTGAGTTGAAGCCACGCATATTGGGCTTTGAACCAAAGAGTCGTTGTCAACCATCTTGCACAGGAAACTTTCAATGTCCACTATATTAAGAGGAGCAGGACTCTGATATATGACTATGATGCCTCAAATTCGGAAGACCGTTCAGAACCATGCAAAAACAAAGGAGAGTTGCAGAAACTTGTACTCCACGCTTTTCATCGCATCACTTCTAAGAACTGTGGTGACTGTGAGGGAACTATTCACCTTCCTGCAATCACACTGGCTTCATATAGTAACTAGACGGAAGTGGATGGATGTCTCGGCGGCAAGCGCAAATGACAAACAGCCGAGCATCACAGTGATGAGTACAATGGGCAGTCAATGAAGCCAACTGGCGAATCTCCTTAAGCTACAGAATGTTCGGTTTGAGTTGAGATAGATCCATATATGTCAGTGTTGTGACTCCCAGTTAGATAGACGTAACTCGGGTGGCATTGAGGTCGATTCGTGAGGGTTCCTGTATGCGATTTTATATGTTCTGCGGACGCTGGGTGCGATTTCCTGTCTAACTTAAAAGGTACAGGCTAACAGCGGCGGCGGAAGTTGGAACGTCGGCCCCGGTGTATCTTTCCCCATTAATATTAACATCAATCTCCCACTAGTCCACTCCGGGTGTAGGTGCCCAGGAACTACCTTCCTTACCTTGGTAACGCTGATATCTGCAACAGCGCTGCACTTGCAGTTATCTGCCCAAACATTTTTGCGCGTCCTACCCCTACACTACCTCGACATCCATACAGCTGAAAGAAAGACCAGTAGGGGAGGTGCGAGTTGATTCTATTTAATTCCGTCCTTTACTCCCTGATTTGAGCCGACGCTTCTTCTCATCATGTTTTCCGCAAAACCTTCAACCGGCCTGTCCATAAACACCAATTCCGCCAATTCACTTTTGTAAGTGCGCTTGTATCCAGAGCTCGGTCTGGAGCTTCAGCTCTAAGATCGGAGCTGCAAATTCATGAATCGCGCGATTTAATTAGGCTAACGACTCTTTCCCTCGCGTAGTGGCGGATCTAATGCTCAAACTACATCGTCTACAGCTGCACCAGGGACAACGAGCACGTCGGGTGGTTTGTTTGGAAACTTGGGAGGCGCCAATGCGCAGTCAAAGCCAGCTGGCGGCCTTTTTGGAAACCTTGGGGGCGGGAACACGCAACAATCTTCAACTACTGGATCAAGTCTGTTCTCCGGCTTAGGTGGGCAACAGCAAAATCCTACTAATACCACTGCTGCTGGCGGCGGCCTGTTTGGAGGCTCTACACCGTCCAGCTCGCAACCTGCAACTGGTGGGCTCTTTTCGGGGACTGCAGGTGCAGGCACTACCACAGCCCAAGGTGGAGGTACTGGTGGAGGGTTGTTTGGGTCCACGACACAGACTCAGTCAAAACCGCTATTTGGCGGTCTGGGGTCTTCTACAACAACTGGGGGTGGCCTCTTGTGAGTGATTCGCACTGGCCTTCTTTCGTTTCATCGATTAACCAGTGAGAAATTCTAGTGGTGGCGGCAACCAGGCCAACACACAACAGCAGCAACAAGCACAGAAGCCCACGCTATCTCTCTTTGGGAACCAAAATGCCGCGCCCCAACTGTCGGCACAGCAAACAGCCACAACCGGAACAGTGGTACCCGGGGTCAAGGTAGATCTCAGTAATCTCTTACCGACGACAAAGTACGAGAGTTGCGCCGATGAAATCAGATCGGAGTTGGAGAAATTCGACAATTATGTCCTCCTTCAAATCAAGCTGTGTAACGAGGTCTCGAACATGCTTCCTACAATCGCGGGCCAGGCCGAGACGATTCCAAATGATGTGGATTTCGTTCAAGGCAAACTGGAAACCATTGAGCATGCGCTGGAGAACGACGCTCGCGATATTGATCAACTACGCAGCCTGGTGTCTCGCGATGCAGCCGAGGCACAAGTGGCGTTCCGTGCCATCGATACATTAAAATTACCCCTGCAATATCAATCTGCAGGAGGCGCAGGGTGGTGGTCAGCCCAGGATCAAAAGGGGTCCGATCGCCAGGCGTTGCGATCCACGCGCAAGAATACTCTCGCTCTTCCGGATGATGTCGAGACTGACCCGTCGTCTGCCACTTCCATCAGTGGTGTGCCAGTAAACCTTGTCGACTATTTCTCTCAGCGCTCTGATGAGATGGGTACGGTTCTCGAGCGATATACTGGCAATTTGAAGGAGATCGAAGACCACCTCCATGGTATCGAGCTTTCACTTAACCGCCAGATTCAAGAATTTGTGGCTTCACGAAGTCGAGATGGGGCGGCCACTGGTACCCAGAAATCGAAGCTCAATGACCTTGCAGCAGTGCTTGGAGAGGTGGAGAACGGTATACTTGGCGTTGCCAGTAGGCTCGGTACCGTCACCGAACAAGTGCAGGAAGTGGTATTGGGTCCGCCGTCGGGAGATGGTAGGCTTAATTAATGATAAACCTCGAGTGGCATGTATAATGAGGTGAGATGCGCATTAAAGTGGCGTCAAGCATCTTGGGTCATTTCAGGGACCTCAGTTTCTATCACTACTTAAGAGAAGTCTTGTATTTCAGCATGAGTATTAGGGCCAGGCGTTACAAATGAGAGATGACAGTATTGTGCTCTTTTCGATAAACATTGATATTTACAACATACGTGTTTGCCTGCTCAACAACATCTCCTTCCTTTATGGTGTTGTTTACGTCTTAGCCCAAGACGTACAAAGCAGAAAGAGAGCACTCGGCTGTGCAGAGAATCAAAACGAAAATAACGAGGCCAGCCAACCAATGCCCGGTGGTGGCCAAGAATGTAAGGTACCCATGGATGATCCACATTGCCTCGCCCACAAACGCAAGAGAATGGCGGAGTTGCGTGATCGCACGCCAGAGATGCAGCTCACAGCCACCCCCGGGCGCCGGCTCCAACTTTGTTTCAACTGCATACTTGTTTTACGTTGAGAAGGCTGTTTGCAGTGTACTTGCCTACCCATTTGTATTTTTTTACGGGCCGTGGATATGATGATTTCAGATGTACTCCGTACCGATACAAGAATAACAACTGCTGGATCACTGGTAGACGCTTGGGACGGTGGTAATTTGCCTAGTGATCACTGAATGAGTCAGATCTGACGGCTTCTTCGCGCCATCGAGCCTCAATTGAATAATGTGACGCGATGTCTGATCATGATGGCGATGCAACTTGATCAAATCCAGTTTCTGGCTTACAGCCTCGTTTTCTGACAGTTACAGCCCAGTGTTTTCTGGATATTCTATTTCTGGGTAACATAGTTGGGTGATTGGCCCCAGAGATGGCGCCATTTCCGCCAAATCCGCCCCATGGATGATGCGTAATACTGGCACGCAATCCTTCGTGGTACCTCCCAGGTGCTGGTATATGTAAGTACAGCTGAAGACGGCAATATTCAAGTCCTTGGTCCATCGAGACATCGTTTCCCTCCTTAATCCTCCTTCTCCACTGCCTAATATATAGTACATCAACCGCCTTCTAGCCCTAATTGCTCCTAGCCTACGATATACCACAAGCACAAGATAAACTGAAAAAGTACACAATGGCACCATTGCTGGAGGAACCAGCCACTGCTCCTTTCCTTGGTCACTTTACTGTTCCCAAGAAAGAGACTGCTGAGCACAACAAATTTTGGTACGAGCCAGGGCGCACAACAGTCAAGAGACACGACGATTACCCTTATGAAGATCTTCTGCCCTCCTTTCCAAATGTTCAGTGGGAAGCTATAGGGGAGGTTCCATACGAAGATAAAGGGCTTCGCGGAGACCCAAAGTTCCGTCACTTGCTCCAAGATGCAACTGACGTCTTTGACTACACACCGAGAATCGGAACGGAGATACATGGGGTCAATCTTGCCAGACTCAATGATGCCCAAAGGGATGACCTTGCCCGCCTGATCGCCGTCCGTGGCGTGGTATTTTTCCGCAATCAGAAGGATTTTGATATTGAAGCTCAACGGGAGTTGGGGAAATATTTCGGGACGTTGCATAAAGTGAGTCTTGCCTCCCCCAGATCGTCGTGAGCGTAACTGGTGTCTAACTGTGATTTAGCATGCCACTACTGCTGTACCTAGGAAGAAGGGATTGGAAGACGTGCATGTCGTTTATACTGGGGACAACTCCTCCGACCAACGAGCACTGTTTTCCCCGAGCTTCCTGTGGCATTCCGACGTAACATACGAGGTTCAACCACCATCATACACATTATTGAAGGTCTTGACGGGCCCTCCCCGAGGAGGCGGTGGTGACACTCTCTGGTCGTCTCAATACGCGGCATACGACGCACTCTCATCGCACATGCAGAACTACCTGAAGGGCTTGACTGCTCTCCATACAGCCAACATGCAGGCATCAGACTCGCGAGCTCTTGGTCGAACTGTTCGTCGTGAGCCTATCACCACAGAGCACCCTTTGATTCGCACAAATCCGGTMACCGGTTGGAACAGTCTCTTCTTCAATCCTGGCTTTGTAACCAAGATTGTGGGAATTCCCAAAACAGAGAGTGACGCCATTATAAGGTACCTCACCGAGGTTGTTGCCACCACGCAGGAGGCGCACGCTCGTTTCCAATGGGGTGAGGACGATGTGGCTTTGTGGGACAATCGAACAACGGTGAGTAATGCGCAGATACTCTTCATCATGATCTCTTCTGACATTCTCGATAGAATCATTCCGCTTCTTACGGCTTTGCTCCTCACCGTCGTCATGCTGTCCGGGTTGCCTGCCACGCTGAACGCCCCTACTTCGACCCCGACGGCAAATCCCAGGAGGAGGAGTATATTGCTTACTATAACCTACCGCCCGTGAACAAGGATGGCTCGCGTCAATCCAACTACAACGATTAACCTGGGGGGCTGGTCCCTTCTCCTTATCCTTGGGAACTCTGAGTCGAGAGAACTTATTGCACATACACTTCTCGATGAGGGTGAGCAAACATAATGAACGCTTATGATAGATACGAAATATAGTTGCTTTTGATATATGTCTGTGGAGAGAGTGATCAAATCGATGCTGCTTCTTCTCATGTAGGAAACGTTTTATGATATTGCATGATACTACAGCATTGAATAATATACACCAGTATGGATTCTAGTTAGGAGCTAGCGAAGCTTCATTGGTGTTCAGCTCTTATCACTGAGTGATTGGCTTACACACGTGCCTGAGCTGAAGAATCACAACGTCGATCCCAGTAGGAGACGGCTAGTCTCATAATCCACAATCCACTCCACTGAATCATTCTTGATGTCAGCCAAACACGAACCATCTCTGCTCGAATATGCCAGATTCCACGGAATCGCTTGTGACTGCACCGCAATCACTCCCAACCAGCATCTTGATCACTCCCTCAAGCTGCCACCAGATGACCCATCCGTGCCCGAAGACAAGCTGAAATCGCTCGATAAATATCTCCTTACCACACAAGAATCTGTCGAGAAAGCCATCCGCGAAGAAAAGCTCAACGTGAGAAAAGAGGATATCCGCCTTCTATCAGCAGTCCTTCGTGACGTGAGAACTCATAAATTTGAATTCGAACTGGAAGATGCTTTGGCAGCCTTTCACCGTCTCAACAAGCTCAAGTTGGAACCTCCCATCTTCAGCCTAGACTACGAGACGCACACGGCACTTCCTCAAAGGCCGGTATTCGACGATCCCGAGGAAGTGAACCTGCCTCCTCTCGAGGAGGGTCCCGACTATCAGCTTGAGTCTTTGGTGAAGAGGGCAGATGAGATAAATGAAGAGATTAGGAATGAGAAGCTCAACTGCAACAAGCAGTCTTTCATGCTCATACAAGATGCAACGAAGCTTGGAAATGCGTCTTCGAATCATCTGGATGATATAGTAGCAAATACCATCCGACCAGTGAGTCTCTTGAGGAGGGTGGAGTAACAGCACACTAATTTGATTCTCATCTCTTACAGATAATTTCTTTCCGTTCGAAATCTCCTGCTCTTACGCCTTTGGGCGTGGACGATGTGTCCTTCAAAAGTCCCTCGCCTGAGCCAGAGCTTCAGATGCTACCCAGCCCAGTCTCGACTGAGATACTAGAAACATCGAAGCCACAAAATTATCTGTCTAAAGATACTGATGCAAGCCACAACCCTGAGGTCTTCAACCACGTACGGCGGACTTCTATGGGAGGTAACGATTGCATGATGCAGACAGATCACCACCTATCAGCAGCTGAAGGACGGCAAACCTGGAAAAATGCAGCGACGTTAGGCCGCGATGAGCCCTGCGAATTTACCACGCTTGCAGGTGAAAGCGCAAGAGGTGGAGGAAATTCAGAAGATATACAACTCCAGACGGACTTAAGTATACCGAAGCTTGCCAACCCCGATAACCCCTCCGAGGATGAAGAACCAGCTTCACATTCCGCCCGACTAATAGAACCTGAGGTGTCGGAAGAAGAACCTGAATGGCTGGCAACAGAAGCTCCAGTCGAAGAGGATACGGCGGTATTTGTACAGTGTGGACCTCCGTCAATCTCCCCATCGGCGACCTGTTATTCTTCGCATACAAATGACTCAGCATGTGAAGCGTCCCTTCAGTGTTCTAATATTGACTTAGAAAAGTCAGACGCTCATAGCTCAGCTCACGAGTTCCATGCCTCCAGTACTCATGGACTGGCCAACAAAAGATCACTCAGCAGCATAACTGTTGAAGCAGGCATTGTATCGACGGATCAGAATGTTCCAACACCACCAGTCCTTGATTCCCAGCTTATCACAAAACTAGGGCAATCCCCCAGTAGGCTCCAGCGGAGTAATAAACGAGCTTTTATGGTCGGCGATAGTGGCTTGACTGCACCAGATCAGACTCGGCTTTTGACCAATACTTCTCCCACAGTGACCGATCAACCTTTACAGCAAAGGAAAAGGAAACGCCAGCTTACCAACGAGAGTTCCGTCAGAGCCTCACAGTCTGAGCAGCAGGGGAAGCAGAAGCAGCCGGCGGTACCGTCATTTACAACTCTGGGTTCTTTGGCCGCCTTCATGGAGACAAGAGGTCGGAACGAGAAACGGCATACGGTGACGCAAAGCCCATACTTCCCAGGGAAAATATCAACCGACGGCGTTTCCAAGCAGCTAAGTAAGGCAGTGAGCGCCGAGAAGCCCCGAAGCTGCTTAAAAGAGCCGGACAAAAGCGACAACGGCCCGGATATAATACCGACAGCCACACAACTTCCTCACTTCCATCAGCAGATGGGAGAACGACCAATCCTGTTCTTATCAACCGCCCTTCTGAAGAGTCATCTTCGGCTCGTACGCTGCCTTGAAGGAATGGCAGGCCAGCCAGCAATCGTATATAGAGACTATAACCACAATAATTCGGGCAGTGAGCCTCATGGCAAGCACACAACCTCTCGCATGAACAGCAATCCCACTCTTCAATTCGAAGCAGATATCATAATTTCGCCGAGTACTGGTATAATCCTGACAACATCGCAGGCGACAACGCAGCTATATCTGCCCGGCCATAAGTCCACTCATGCTGAGACGAACATCGAATGCATCAACTCGCCACTCCGAGAACGCATCTTCCTCCTCGCCCCTCGCTACGAACGAATCTACCTGTTCATATGCCACAGTGTACCTTCTTCCAAGAAGTTGCAAGTCAAACAATCAGGCCCAACAGCGGACAAGCGAGTGTTAGGGTCCATCGCCTCGTTGACTGCTTTTTGCAACTCGATGTCCGCCTATGCAACAATCAGTCCATTGCTTTTACCTTCCTGCCCAGAAACCGTGGCGGGATGGGTCCTTTCGCTTGCGAACAAGCACATTGCTCGACTTCCCGAGAATCCCACGCGGATTCCGTCCGGCACAAGCTTCACACCGATCAACCCGCCCCGGGAAAGCCGATTGAGCCCGGAAATGATGAGGAGAACAACCGTCTGGGAGCTCTTCCTCCGCCAGGCTGGACTGAACCCATACGCTGCGCAAGCGGTTTTGGCATTCCTCAGACGAGAAGACGAAGAAGAAAGGGCTTATATACGCTACACGTCCCGTACGGCTGCAAGTCCCAGCTCAGGAGAGGATGGAGGTGGACAAGGTCTGGCGAGGTTTATCGAGATGGCGCCAGGTCGAAGAAGAGAAGTTTTCGGTGAGCTCATAGGTGACAGGATGATGGGGCGAATCAACCATATTCTCGACAAAGACTGGCAGTGTGACTGGGCCCTTAACTTTGACGCTGATGTGGAACTATGAATTCACCTCTGTAGCTAAGCTGGCCCTAAGAATAAGCCGGTATTGCTAAGGCGGAGAAACAATCCAACCTTTGTGGATCCATTAGTGGAAGAAACTAGAGTCAACGTACTGGACATCGGCTGGAGAGGAGATTTATCATATCTGATATTACTCGTTTTCATCACTCCTGAATCGGCGTGATTCATGACGATTGCTAGATTTAGAAGTACATCCATAGTAGTATGCTGGAGAAGACAAGGTCGTTTCACGCTTTATAACAACAAATGCGCAGACAGAATCAGCCCAAAAAGAGACAGCATTGGCTGTGCCATTTTTTAGACCTTGATGGTGACTGATTTGGAATTACAATGTTTTCGATGTGTTGTGGGAGCTCATGATTTTTGCACGGTATATAATACACGGCCTCCGACTTGGGCGTTCTCAGCTCGAGATCGAGAGGGGGAGAAAGACAGAAAGAAAGGGGGCTCGTTCCTTTATTCGTTGATCTTGGCAAGGATCCTGTCGCAGAGGTCAGTATAATCTCATCGAGGAGCGGACATCGTTATGCTGCAAGGGAACGTACTCAGAATCCCGGAAGAGGGTGTACTCCTCTTCGCCGACCTTGATGGGGTTACCACCGAACTGTATCGCAAGATCTGTCAGCCACTTCATCGAAAGAGAAATCCAATGTCTGTTGTGCATCGGATCCGCGCGGAGATAAAGCATCCAGAACCACTTAATACGTACCTGAGGGATGAGAACCTTGTCACCAGCGGAAACGCTCATGGGGATTCTCTGGCCGTTGCGGTCAACGGCACCGGGACCGACGGCAAGGACCTTGGCCTCGTTCTGCTCCTTGACGCTGCTCTCGGGGAGGAAGATACCGGAGGCAGTCTTGGGCTCGGGCTTGATGCGCTGGACGAGGACACGGTCCAGGAGGGGAGCGAGGCTCTTGATGTTGCGGAGGACGGACTGAATGAGAGAAGAGATAAGGTTAGCGGCATGTACCAATTAATGAGTCAGACAAAAGGGATCAAGACATAGTTAATGTAGCAATTGTCACGACGAAGGTGGTCCCTGAGGTCCCAGGCCAGGTGCAAACACGTACCATTTTGTATGAAGGTGTGAGGAGAAGAGTGCGAGACTCGATATTTCAGTTTAATTGAGCAGGGACGAAGAAATGTATCAAGTGCAAGGCGTGGAGAGTACGAAAGAAAAGAAGATGTTCGGACAGCTCGTCTGGGGGAAGAAGATCTGGACTCGCCGGGCCGCGAGAAATTTCCAGAATGCCAAGACCGGAGAGCTTCCATCAACACTGCCGAGGGTATCAAGTCAAATGCTTTTTGCTATAACTGTAGCATCATATGCGATGAAATGGACTTATTTGCTATGTTTTGAGGAAGTCGGTTGATTCATCTGGCCTGGGTTTGCAATGTTGACTTTACAGTAGATGTTCCAATGCCAGTCTGCAGCTCAGTCGCCTGCGACAGCTCCTTTTCCCCGAATTTCTAGCTGCGGATAGCTTAAGCTCATGGTCTTAAAGATCATGGTCAATGGTATGCTTAATACTGACTGTATACAAATGAACGCCACCAGATCCGACCCATTATTCCGAGTGCTACTGACCCAGCAAATTGAACATTACAACACGGTAATAGAGACATGGACCCTTAGCTCTACCATCTTCTTCCTCGTCCTCGGCCGCCAAACCCACCCCTCTGATCGTAACCTCCAAATCCCATATGAGGCTGGCCACCACCTTGTCCTCCAAATCCTGATCCTTGCGACTGGCCGCCGAACCCAGGCTGGCCTTGCTGCTGCCCAGCGCCGGCACCACCTTGGCCTCCCATCATCGCCTGTGCATGCTGCATGAAAGCCATGGGATCCATAGACGACGGATCCATGCCTTGCGACATCATACTTGCCAGCATGCCCTGCATCATATCGGGGGACATGTCTGGCATTCCTGGCATACCGGGCATAGCTGGCGGCGCGCTGCCAGGAGGAGCAGCAGGGCCCGGAGCTCCTGGCATTGGTGGAAGACCCATGGTCAAGAAGTTCTGCATATCATCCAATTGCTTCTTCTGGTCTCCAACCTCTTTTCGTAGCTCTTGTTGTTTTAGAACGTAGCTTGCCCAGGTGAATTCGTCAAATCCGTAGTTGAAATAGTCGGAGATATCTGAACCAGGTCGTCTCCATGGTTTATCGTCCTCGGTTGGAAAGTCCGTGTCCATATCTGTCGACAGGATCGGCTTACCTGTGGCGGGGTGGACAGGGTTCGCATTGACATCGATCGTCGACGCGTGCACAGGCGGGTATGCGGAGCCAGGCTTCTGAGGCACGGATGGTCTTGCGCTGGCAGGCGCCGGAATGGCAGCTTCGATTTTAGGCGTTACTGTAGGTGTGACGGATTTTGACACAGTCGATATATCCGCTGATGAAGGTCTTTGGGGCTCTGCTCGTAGGTTGGCATGACGAGGATGTGGTCTGTCTCAACGTCAGATCAAATGCCATCCAGCTAAGTTAGTGGAGGAATCGACAGCTTACACTTCCGAAGGCGGCGCCTCTGGAGGAGCTTCTGTGATGATATTGAAGTCATCCTGCAGGAGATTAGTCGATGTGAGAGATTGAACCGCGTATTGTGAGCAAACCTCGTCCTCTTCCACCTCTATCTCCTCCTCCTGCTCCTCCCCTTCATTCGATTCTTGAGACTTTTCGTTCGATTGGGTTTGAGGAGCATCCTGAGCTTGGTTTACGGGTACTGCATCGGCAGGATCGTAGAAATCGTCATCGTCATCTTCCATCATCATTTCGAACAGAAACAGAGAAATCTGTGATTGAGAGAAGAGTTGAATGACGAAATCTCGACCAGTTTACTGCGGAGATCGAACGGCACGCCGAGTTTGGCATGTTTGCTCTTCAGCTACCCAGATCCGTTCTGTATGACAGCCACTACTCAGTTATTGATACATGCAAGATGCATTCTGATAATGACAATTCGATCATATATGTCTTCCACGACATTGGATTCTTACGTGTTTGACTGAATTCGATCCACTCTATGCGATCTCGATGAACCGTGGTCACGTGTCCCTGTGCCTCCGTCAGTTACTTGATCACAAGTACCTCTCTACAACATCAGGATAGATGATTACTTGAATTTTTGAAAACGACCCTGAGTGGCACAGTCATCAATAATACATAAATCATGCCTCCTTCCGAACAACAGAGCCAGAGCTCCACGCCGCGCTCATTTACGAGCCAGACTACCTCCGCAGAAGATCTTCTCAAGTCGCAGACCGTCGGTCTAGTCCATCTTTCCGACTTTCGCAAGCGTCGCGCAGAGGTTCTAGAACAAAAGGAACGAGAGGCACACGACAAGTCGCTGGGAAGATTTACATCCGGTAACTCAAGAAGTGCTACTCCTTCAACCGGCGATGTTACTGACGGGTGAGTTGAGGCGCATGCTTCTTCCTTTCTCTTCACTGACTGATCGCAATTACCCAGTAACTCGACTCCCCGTAGTGAGGGCCCTCCGAAGAAAAAGAAAAAGAAGCAACTCATGAAAAGCAAACTTTCTTTTGGTGACGACGAAGAGAATGATACCGGTGATGAACCTGTGCCTACTCCCCGCGAAACGAGCGTCCCCCGGTCTGCGTCGAGAACACCTGCGGATGATAGCTCTGCGCCGTCGTCACGGCGCATCACGCCCAACCCCAATGCACCACCTCCTCCGAAAGCGATAACGAAGGCTGCACTAAAGGCAGAAGCAGAGGCGCGTGATGCCCTTCGCAGAGAATTTCTGGCTATGCAGGAGGCGGTCAAAAATACCGAGATACTCATTCCGTTCATTTTTTACGATGGCACCAATATACCGGCGGGAGCAGTCAAGGTTAGGAAAGGAGACCCCGTATGGTTGTTTCTTGACCGTTGTCGCAAAGTCGGTGCCGAGTTAGGCGTCGCAGGTGCTAGCGGAGCAGCAAAGGGCAGGAAAGACAATCGCCGGGAATGGGCCAGAATTAGTGTCGATGACCTTATGCTGGTCAGAGGAGAAATAATCATTCCACATGTAAGTGGAACCTGCTTTTGCTCATTGTCATGTGCTGATTGACCCTCTAGCACTACGAATTTTACTATTTTATAGCCAATCGAGTGCCCAGCTTCACAAGTGCTGGTGGGCTATTGTTCGACTACTCCAACGAGCCTCCCCCAGCAGCTTCTAGTGATAATCCACTGTCACGGCCTGATAATGACCAATTAGAAGGTGCCGATAAAGATGCGACGATGACGAAAGTGGTCGATAGACGGTGGTATGAACGAAACAAGCACATCTTTCCAGCGAGCTTGTGGCGGGAATACGAGCCGGGGCAAGAGTTTGAAGAGAAAATGCGCACGACCCGGCGAGATGCTGAAGGAAACACGTTTTTCTTCTGATCTGGCGACTTTTTGGCTATATAGAAATGAGAGCCGTTGTGAGCTAAGAGAGCTATTAAACAGTGAGAGGAAAACATATGTATATTCTTTAGATACCCGAACAACCAATCTGGTTTATTCTGCCACTGAAGCACGTTCTTCTAAGTGAATAATGATAGGTATTGTTGCAAGTATCTTGTGGTTGACAATCTGCTGCACTCTGCAGTGGTACAAGTATTCTGAACTGTCGCCAAACTTCCTGCGCCCTTTGCGTCCATCAACTACAAGCTTCGACTCTTCGACTATTCTTGAGGTTCTTGAAACAAAGGAATTCAATCATGGACTTCTACCTTCGATGCAATGCTCTAAAATGTCGCACCCAGTTGAAGGAGCAAGCAGTCGTCACCACCTGTTCGTAAGTCATCCGTTCTACTGCCCTTTCTTCAGTCGTTTTGATTAGTGGCGATGGAGATTGACCTGCTCAGGCATATATTTTGTCTTCCCTGCGCAGATACTCTCGGTCTCTCGCGTCCCACCCACGGCGAGCGTCGCTGTCCAGCTTGCCAAACCGTCCTCGTGAATCCGGACGATGCCGCATCGACCGTTCTCAATCCCTCTGAAGACTACAAAACCAGCGTACTGAGTGGACTAGATCCGAACACAATTATGGAATGCGCTAGTCGGGCATTAGTATTCTGGGCTTATCAGACCACGCAGGAGATGTGCGTATTGCTGAGCTTTCCCTTTAATTTCTGCGTCAATTTCCTGACGGAAGACAGATTCTACCAGGAGTATCTTGGAAAGTCGCTTACGGAGAAATACTCAACGCTGAATACACACATGGACAGGGTGATTCATAATGCAAATACGGAGATATCAGCTCTTCAGGCTAAATTGAACGGTTCGTCATTATCAGCAGATCCTCGAGGGGGGACTTGAACTTTTAACTCAAAATATAGACAAGCAAACGACAGAGGAGCAGCTTCGCAGAAAGAACCAGGAGCTTGTCGATCTCTACCGAGAAAAGTGCAAGAAATTTGCTCAGATCACCAATCTGTACAACCTACTCAAGTCTCGTGCTATGAGGTCGCAAATGAAGACCGCTGCATCGGACACTGTCTCACAAACTTTGAATTCGCTGGGTAACTCGGGAAACGAGCTCTCAGTATCAGGCTTGAGCAGACCGATGGGTGTATCGGGGCTACCACAAACTCCGGCATCTCGTCAGGGCAATCCGCACCCTGTCAACCTGGAAGGGGTGGAACAGCTACACCGGCATCAGCGGAGCGGAACTGGGAGCTCAAAAGGCGCAAAGCAAAAGGTTAATGCCGCTGCGATGCCACCGCCCACAGTGCCAGTGAACTTGAGAAACCGTATGCCCCCTCCATCTATTTCCGGTGAGCAAGATATTCTGATACGTTCAAAGGAAGTATCCCCAATGCAACTCCACAACAACGAACTCGTCTCCCAGGCCCTATACGTCCCTCGACTGGAATGCCAAGCTTACCGCAGGACAACGTCATGTTCGAGCGATTTCATGACACCAATATGCCAGGTCGGTACTTGAACAGTGGCAACACCTCGCTCAATCGAGATAGTGTGGGTTTCCAGAGACCTGTTCCTGGTACGGCAAGTGGAGGGGGAAATGGCCCTTTTGTTTCGAGGTCTTCTCTATTTCAGAACACCATTATATAACCTTGTCCTGACAATCCAGGTTCACCCGTCCGCATATCAATCTGTGCATTCCTTCCTTTGACGGGTAAGTCGCTTCTTTCGACGCGGTTGTTGATCACATATATAGCAAGACATATGTATAATTTGTCGGTTGCTGCCTTTGGTAGATAGATATCAACTAAGGGTGAGAGAAATTTGAGTATATATATATATATTCCTCGCACATCAATTGCTTTGTTTTCACCACCGGCTACGTTTCAGGGTGAACTCAAGAATCGGGCTTCGTTGTATATGTCCACGCCAAGAACGGTACCTCTATTCTTTCGATAGGGTTATATATCTCCTAGCTTTCCAGATAGAACCCTAATTTCAGTGCATGTTTCAGACAGGCTGCCAGGCATCAAGACAATCGATGTCTCATAGGGATCGAGCATTAGCTTATTGTCTCAGCCTGAGCAACTGGGATTGCTCTGTTAATGTTAGCTAAATCTTTCGTCAGCGAATCCACGCTAGGACGTTCATGGGTTTATCTTCCTTTCGCCCGACGAACTTGGCTATGGATAGTTCCCGCTCTGCAATCACCACCATTTCGATCCAACAGTACCTTGAGAACCATGTAGGTTCATCCTGGAATTCATGATGGCTTCATATACGCAGCTCAGTAGATCAAAACAATCCTTATACATGAAGCCCTGAGCATCATTCCTCCTACGACAATAGTCCATGCCAACTCCGAGTTTCCGTGGTAAACAAGCCTACAAGTCCTATATACTCCGACTTCCGCACCATGGATATACCAGAGCCAAACAACTACAGCACCTCCAATTGCAAAACAGTAAAGCGGAAGATCTCATCATCCTTGGATCCCATCGCATCACGCTAGATCTTCACTGCAAAGGCCCGTCCCGTGGCCACTCCGACGAAAGCGACCCAGACGTCACTGACTCCTCCACCTCGGGCGTGCGGAAGCGGGAAGCTGAGCTCGTCCAGATGGAAAAGGATTTCCCAATTCCCACACGGCCCCCGATCTAAATGCAGAGCAGGGGGAGCTCCTGTGGAGAATGACTCTAATTTAGTTTTCAGATCTCTCTAGTGCCTTGTTTAAGCTTATCTTGTCCCCTTGTCTTGTGTTTGAACTTGTAAGGTGTAACTGTTGGTACTGTTACTGTTTGTATGTATGGCGATGCTGTCACGTGATGATTTCATATCCAGTCCATACTCCTGCGGGTGACGAGTGCCGTTTACTTACCACTACTTCTCTTCCATTCTAAGGTTGGATTAAAGAGATCTAATTTACAGCAGATGTATCATTGATGATCGTTATCATTGGATTAAATCGACTCTCACTGCAGAGACCCATGCCTCGCAATCAACCAAGAATATAGTCTAAGAGAAACAGCTGACTCCAGCACAAATGGATATCCCCTTCTCTTCTTCAACCTGTCAGTGTAGTGTCATCTGTCATACTGTTTGTATGTCCAATCCTCGCTAGATAAGTAAGGGAAAAAAAAAAAGTTCCGTATCATGCCATGCGTTCAGAACAGAAAAAGGAAAACGAAAAGGTGTAAGTAAAAAAGAAGCCGGAGAAATTAATGATTAAAGCAAAGAAAATTTCTTTCCCATTTTTTAAGCAGAACCGAACTCCTTGATATCGGTCTTCTTGCCCAGCAGAGCAAGAGGGACAATACCACTGACGTGCATATCAGGACCGTACACGTGCATTTTAAGACCCAACTCCTCACCAACGGCCTTGATGTTCTTGAGACCTTCCTGGTAGTTGGGACCAGCACGACGAACCCAGATTTGGACGTTGTGCTCGTTGAGAACAGGAGCGACCTCGCGGATCGCACGGATGACACCCTTGAACGTCGAAGCGACGTTGGTGAAGTTGGCAATACCACCACCGATAAAGAGAACCTTGCCGTCAGGGTGCATAGGTGCGCGCAGCATCAAGTCCAGAACGGTCTTGGCGTAGTTGTAGGTCTGAGTCTCGGTGGGAGCACCGGAATACTCACCGTAGTTGGCGAGCTCGCTGACGAAACCAGCGGAGGCAATGGCATCGGCGTACACGACTGAGGCACCACCACCAGCGACCAGAGTCCAGATACGACCATTGGCATTGAGCACAGTAAGCTTGAGAGAAGCACCGGTCTTGGCATCCATGTCGGAGATGAACTTCTCCTCCTTGCTCAGCTCACGGCCGAAGGGAGCGGGGAACTCCATTGGCGGGCCAGCATCAACGTTGACCTTTCCGTCAGCCTGGGGAACGGTGGCCAGGCCAAGGTTCTGAGGGCTGCGGGCAATAGCCCACTTGGTACCGCACTCAAACTCAGCAGTCTGGTCAAGCTTAGCGGCAAGGTCAAGGAAGTGCACCTCCGCGGAGGTACCCTCAGCGTTGGGAATGACAACGAGAGGGTTGATCTCAAGATAGGTGAACTGGCAGTCAACATAGACGGCGTAGAGACGGGAGATGAAGTCGACCAGGACATTGTGGACGCCCTTGGGCACCTTGCTCAAGAGAGTAGCAGCAATCTCCTCGTTGGAGGGGTAGTTGTTCAGGTTCACGGGGATAAGAAGCTTCTCGGCCTTGGCATCAACATCACCGACGTCCACACCACCCTCGTGGGTGAAGAGAATCCAGTCACCCTGAAAAGGTTCATTAGTCTTCGAGATCGTCGGAAATTTGAGAAACGGCAGAGGCGCTTACCTCTCGCACGGAGTTGATGTTGATGTAGTACTCAGTCTCCTGAGGGTGGGGAACGAAAGGCTCAACAAGGAACTGGCGAAGAACACCGGTGACAGTCTCAACCTTGACCTCCTTGCCAGCACGAGCCTCAATCCACTCCCTGGCCTCGGGCCAAGTCTTGTTCAGAGCGAGCAAACCGCTCTTACCCCGTCTCTTGATCAATTGATCTGGCTTAGCGACGAACTTGGCGCCGGGAGTCAGCAGCCAAGGGTAGACAACCTCCGTCTGGTCCAAGACATCCTTCACAGCGGCGTCTTCGGGGAAGTAGATGGAGGCAAGTCTGGGAGGAGGGTTGTGGGTGGCGGAAGGAGGGAGAGGAGTCGGCTTGATGACAGGAGCCCGGGTGAGGTGGTAGTTGAGGATGGCCTTGCCATCAGCTTCGAGAATCGACTTGGCGGACATGACGATAGAAATGGAGGATCGCAGAGAGCAAAAGAGAAGAAGGTCCTGACGACTTAGAGGTTGTATGTAGAGAAAGGGAAGAGAGCCCGGATCAAGAGAAGGATATAACAGAGAGATAGAGAAGAGGGATAGGATGGTACTTTGGTTGCTGAGGTCGGCAAGCAATTCAACCTGCAGGAAGTGATTTGTTAAAGTGGGAGAGAAGGTGGGAGAAGATGAAGGTGGATGGATTGAAGAAGAGAGGAGGAGAAAGAGGAGGGGATTCAGTGACCGCGGACGATTGACTTTGAGTCCTCCAAATAAAATAATCGAACTATCAAGTAAATGTCCGAAAGGACTTTGGGAGGGGGAAAACACAGGCAATTTTTTTGGGGGGAAGCTGATTCAAAATTACAGAGAGTCAGGTACGGTATTGAGGCCGAACTCGGAAATGACCAGATTTGGAGGGGGACCAGACTCAGAGATACAGAGTACGATACAGCATAGCAGGCTTAGACGCCCCAAATGTTGAGATTTAGTGGGGAAGAAGGAGGGTGGGTCCTGCTGTCTCTGGCACTAAAAGGGACGCTAACAGGCAAAAAGAAGTTCCAGGTGTCATCCGCGGACCGATCAAATTTAGCTCCCACCATCTCCAAGGGAGTTTAGAGCTTCCGTTGGGGATACTCGGTAAGGGTATTTAGAGGCAGGACACACCCTACGCTGTAGCCTCAATACTGAATTCCAGCAAAAGGAGGGATCGGACACCGGACGGCAACTCTCGGGGTCATTTGCGCTTCGTGTCCTTTTTTTGTTGGATTATGTACAGCTACTGAATATTTCAAGTTCATAGACCGTCTGCGAATTGCGCGAAACCCGGAGTGAGTCCCGAGACTGTCTTGATGTCGTCAATTGCCTATCAGATCGTTGACAGTATCCATTCATACATGGAGTACACATATAGTACACCTATTTACCTTGTAGATCTAACTGAAAGGCACATGTAAACAATCCCTCTCAAACCTATAATCAAGGAGACTGAATATCACAGTACTACCTACCGTAGATAGATAGTCCGTGATGACAACACTGATCTTTCGGTGAGCAGATCATTAGCGTCCGGCGGTTGGAGCTTTAGGGTGGAGGGGCTCTCCTGTTTGCTGGGTCCGAATTAGTACAAGAGGATCCACCTCTTAGCCCCAACCAAGCTAAGGTACGGACTACGGAGTACCTTGAGTCTACGGAGTTACTTTTTGGTTTGTTCTGCAGCGTTCTTTTGCCTGTTCGACATCCAGGTACAGAATCTACCGAGTACTCCGCAGTCCGGCTCCATCTCGTTAGGCATACACGATTCTGCTTGACTCCTGAGACGAGGGATATTCCACGCATGACCATGACTGGAAAGGAGGAGTTTCTAACGTATTCATTCACCCGAGGCGATCGTAAAGGAAGTTCGGTGTTGAGATAGATAGGTAGTAACTTGCAACCAGGCTCCATGTACGGATCACTTAAGTACACTGGAGGTGATCGTCTGGGAAATCCGCACTTATGATGCACTGTATTCATCACCTCGCATCTTGTTGAGGGTGTCTAGAATTAGTTGCCACTCCAGAATCAGCAGATACAGTTCTTCAAAGTTGATCAATTAATTTTAGGCTCAATAATTGCTAGCAAGCAACGCAATTAACATTCCCAAGTTCCCAACTGGTCTGGTCTTCGACCCATCAAGGAACCGCCGAGAGCAGCTTGTCGCGGTATTGTACCGATACGGTATCGTCCGGAAAAGTAAGCTCCCCCTCAACTCCCCGATATCGTTKAACCCCCTCGTCAGATAATTCAGTTATTTTATTTTAATCACTTATTATTATTTTTGACGTTCGGTTCTTTTTTTTCTTGATCCCGTCTTTTTTCCATCTTCAGAATAAACCACCCCCCATAATCCCCTTGGATCCCAATCCTCCCCATCTTCTGGTTCTGCTTCATCATTCTCCTCATCCCCCTCTTCCTCACTTGTGCATCTTCTCATCCTTCGTGGCTCTTGTTCCTTCCGGGTTGCATTTGACCGTCGAAGCGACTCATTTCTTCTATATCCTCATCTTATATCTACATACTTAATAATACCTTCCGTCCCTTTTAAAGCCGATCTCGAACAGCTCTGTTGACGGGTATGTCGCCTTTCCAAGGTTCCTTGAACGAGCTCGAAAGTGTCATATCGGTGCTTTTCTGAGCTCCCTGCCTTGCGTCCCGCTGCCGTTTCCTGCCCTGGTGCTGATCAATTCTTGGAGAAACAGAGTACTCAGCCATCATGCCCTCGTCTGCTCCTCTTGACGGCGCCGCCAATGGCGGTCTCAACGCCAACGACAACATCACTCGCTTCGAGCCTCCCAGCCGAGTGCTCTCTCCTCTCACTCACACCCTCTTCCACAACAAGACGAGATGCTTCGTATAGTAAGTGTTTTCCGGCTGCAGACAGGGTCAATGGCCGGGGCTGATGGTTATCACAGCGGTATGCAGCCCAGAGCCGTGCAAGGCATGCTCGACTTCGACTTCATTTGCAAGCGTAGCACACCTTCGGTTGCTGGTATCATCTACACTTTTGGTGGCCAGTTCGTCAGCAAGATGTATGAAGATCCCCTTCATCTGCCACAGCATTTCCATCAACAGCTGCTGACTCTGGAATTGTAGGTACTGGGGTACCAGCGAGACTCTCCTTCCTGTCTACCAGGATGTCGGCAATGCCATGGCCAAGCACCCTGACGTTGACACCGTTGTCAACTTCGCCTCGTCTCGTTCCGTCTACACCTCCACCATGGAGTTGATGCAATACCCCCAGATTAAGTCCATCGCCATCATCGCCGAGGGTGTTCCAGAAAGAGTATGTCTCGCTAACATTTACCCGCACAGAGTA